TACAAACAGTGTTTGTGTTCAGTGTGTGTATACTCTGGGGCCCTTCCGCTCTCGTTTGGCTTCCTGGCTTGACTACTGCTGCAATACTCTTCTAGGGGTTAATTTCCCAAACCCTAACAAGCTGGCAGCAAAATTGAAAGTCTGCATCCAAACAACCGCTGTCCCCTTCCTGCAGGGTCAATGAATGAATGAAGCTGCCAGAAGTTTCCTTTCTGCTAAATCAATCAACCAGCCACAAATTTCCCAGAAATGAAATAAAAAGAGGTTTGTTTTTTCACTGACTTCCTCTGTTGTCATTCCTATCAAGCCCCTGCAGTTCTTGGAATTCGTCTATCCTAGCCTGAAAGAGAGACAGTTTACTATGTTGGCCAAGGCATCAGGCTAGAAACTGGGAGGCGATGACTTTTAGTTTGACTTAGGCACAAAGGCAGCTGAGTGACCTTTGCCCAGTCACTCTTTCTTAGCCTTTAGAAGTAGGCAATAACAAGCCATTTCTGAAAATCCTTGTCAACAAGGCCTGCAGGAACTTGTCCAGGCAACTTCAGAGAAGGAGACACAATTGAACAGAAAAAACAAAACACTGTAAATATTATTCATTTTTTATTTCCTATTTCCCAAGGGTCTCCTGTAAGTTCATATAAGCCAGTGGTGAGATGCAATTACTAAAAAAGGCAAATAAGATTTGGGGGAGCATTCAGAGAAGCACAGGGTCAAAGTTTTGGGAAGTAACCATTCTCATCTACTTTATCCTACTCAGACTTCATTTAGAGTATTGTGCTCAAATATATCATTCAAAAAGGATAGCAACTAACTGGATCAAGTTCAGAGAAAGGCAGAGAAAGTTGTGAAGGATCTGTATTCTAAGCTGATGAAGAAGAGTCGAAGGACTTCCATCTGTTTAGCTCACATAAAAGATGAATGACAGGAGAGACAGTAGTGGGCTTCAAATTTCTGAAGGGTTATCACACAGAAAAAGGAGCAGGTTGATAATTTGTTACCCTAGAAGCCAGGACAAGGATTAAAACTACAAGAAAGGAGATCCAGGCAAGAAATCTGGAGGAATATCTCACTGTATGAGCTATCAGTTTCTGAAATGGGCAGATAAACTCTCCTTCACAAGAGGTCTTCTTACAAAGGCTGGGCATCTGTTAGAGACGCTCTCATAATCCCTGTACTACACCAGGGGATAGGGCAAAAAGCCCTTTCCTTCCCTTCCAAATATGTGTTTCTTTGGAATCCGTATAACAGAATAACAGAGTTGAAAGTGACTTTGGAGGTCTTCTAATCCAATTCCTAGCTCAAGCAGGAGACCCTATACCATTACAGGCAAATGGTTGTCCAATCTCTTCTTAAAAACCTCTGGTGTTGGAGCATCCACAACTTCTGACAGCAAGTTGCTCCACTGATTAATCGTTCTAACTGTCAGGAAATTTCTCCTTAGTTCTAGCTTTTCATCCATTACTTCTTGCCCTGCTTTCAAGAGCTTTAAGAATAGTTTGACTTCCTCTTCTTTGTGGCAGGCCCTTAGATATTGGAAGACTGCGATCATGTCACTCCTAGTCCTTCTCTTCATTTGACTAGACATACCCAGTTCCTGCAACCATTAGAGGTTGCATGCATGCAAGATCTATTTGGAACTGATTTAAGGGCATCTTTATATGTGCAGAAATCCTACCATATATTGCAGCAGAACAGCTTCCAAAGCTGAGGGCTTGCTTTAGGACGAGCCCTGGAGTTGACCGTCAATATGACTTCCCATTTGTGTGATTTATGCAACAGAAGAAGAAACCATTCCCAAAACATAGGAATGTTTAAACTAGCCCCTCTTAATCTATCATGGAAATGCAGCTACCCAATCTTGGGATCAAGCAGATTATCCAGTGCTGGGTAAAGGGGTTTTACTGACCTGGCACAATGCCTAAGAAGACCACTTGGTCTGAGGATCTTGCATCTCTGCTGACTTCCCTGCTTGTCACCCTTCACTCTCAAAGATTTAACTCCAGTGGTTACGTCACCCCTGAAACCCAGCATGTAGAATTTATCCCCAGGTCTCTCTCTCTCTCTTAGTTGCCAGGATCTCCAGAAGGCACTTGGTCCCCTTTTCTCTCTTACAATTTTGAGAATCCCTTCTGGGAATTAGCTCCTTTGCCCAACCAACTTTGTTCCCAAACTCTTCAGCTCATTGACCCTTTCCACAAAGTTTCAGAGTGTTCATTGATCCCCCCCCCAAACATATATTACATGAAAATAACGTGATAAATACTACTTTAATCACACCATGAATAACAACAGATAATAGGTACCAACTGATTTCATAAGAATAGGTAATATTTAAAAACATGAAAAATATAAGATTTAACAATATCTTTTTTACTAAATGGTTGATATCATTCATAGGAAGGATGAAGCTGAGTGTCAAAAAGGCTGGTGATACTTTACTGGAAAAATGATGATTTTTAATCCCATGTCACCTCATTCTTCCAGATTCAATCTATTCCTATTGACTTTCAGCCTCCTTTTGACCTCCAGCCGTTTAATGACCCCTTCGATAGTCTTATGAACTTTTGGACAGTGATGTTGACCATTTTGTGGAACCCTGGGATGAATGTATGGCTTAGAACCAACCATATTCCTGTCTCCTTCTCCTTAATGAACTTGCATTTTCATTTTGCTTTCCTAGCTTGACTCAGCCTTCTGTCCTTTGGAGGTTGGTAAAATGAGGACTCAGATTGTTGGGAACAATAGGCTGACTCTGTAAACCTCTTAGAGAGGGCTGTAAAGCACTGTGAAGCAGTATATAAGTCTAACTGTTATTGCTATTACCTCTGCTTTTCTTCCCTTGGAGGAAACAAGAAGAAGGTCCTCTCCATCTTCTTAAGTTTGAATCCCTTGCTGAGTCACATGGCCCTTTACAAATCTCATATTTTATCTTTTGGAAATGCTTGTTTCTTCTACTTTGCCATTTGGTTTGCTCCTGGGTGTCTCCATCAAATGCATTCATATTGTTTTTCCCCACACAGGCTACCCTGGGTCCTCCTGGTTTGAAGGTATGTCTCCCCCTTTTCTCAATCATCTCATCTGCTTGCGGCACTGAATCCCACCATTCTCCTAATTTCCTTTTCTCTCCTATGCAAAAACCTGACCACCATCCCCAAAATTGCTATTAATCACAGTGGCATAGTGGTTAGAATGCAGTACTGCAGGCTAATTCTGCTGACTGCAGCAGTTCGATCCTAACTAGGCTCCAGGTTGACTCAGCCTTCCGTCCTTCTGAGGTCAGTAAAATGAAGACCCAGATTGTTGGGGGCAAGAGGCAGACTCTGTAATCCGCTTAGAGTAAAGCACTGTGAAGTGGTATACAGATCTAAGTGCTATTGCTATTTTCCGCTTTCTTTTCTGATTCTCTTTAATTAGATTTATTTTTTTGTCAAATATGTAACTTCCACTACATCAAGCAGTTCCAGAATCTTTGCAGATTGGTTCCAAAATCAATAATGTTTCCCAAGAGTTTAAATAGATTAAAATGCTTTCTCTGGCTTTAATAAACTCATTGTATCACCATTATTGCTAATCTTGCAGATCTCACAGGTACCCATACATAATTTAATGATATTTTAATTTTGTGTATTTACAGTAATTTCAAGAGGGGGTGAATTGTGTGTCCTAGTCACTAATGCTATTTGATGTACCCATAAACATTGTTGTTGCCATTGTGAGAACATCTGCTAAGTGTGCAGTCAATCTTTCACTCTCACTCTCTCCTCATTCGATGAGTATTTCCTTCCACCATTGTATCGCTTTCCTTCACCACCATATCTGCCATATATTCTCCGTTTCTTCCTTATGCCCAATTCCACTTCCCTATTCAGGTAACAGGAAAAGGTGAAAAAGGAAGTGTGGTTGTGTGACTACAAGAACATATTAAGACAATTGACCAAATTCATGCAGAGATGATGGAATTGCCAATGCTCGGTGCTGAGACCCAGTTTGAAGGAGGGTTTATTTTGGACAGCTTCAAAAGGGAATTCTACAGAGAACTGCCCTGACACTGTTCTTCTGGTGGTCATTTTCTTAAGCTTTGTCTCTCTTCCCTGCAGGGTGGGAAAGGCGAACGAGGATCTCCAGGAATCTATGGATCCAAAGGAGAGAAAGGTGATCGTGTAAGTAGGCCCTTTCTTAAGCTTCACGGGATACCTGTCCACTTTTAGGATGCAATGTCCTAAAGTAGGATCTGGGGATTAAAATGGATTTTTTACGGATTGATTTTCCACATTTCTGAACCGCCCATTTTCCTCAAAAAGGGATGCTGGCTTATAAGTCTTGGAACATTCAGCTGCTGCAGGAAAGGGCTCAGGGCTGGAAAGAAATGAAAGCATCTCAAAAATTTAACTCATGGTGAACAGAGGGATATTTCAGGATCAGTCTTGTCTGGAAGAAAGATGGCTAGCCTTTCAGTATCGTATTTTTAGAAAAAGAGTTCAAGTGGCTCTCAGTGTCCCCACTTTAATTAATTCATTAATATCTATTTATTTATTAAATACACTGTCTATTAAAGAATTCACCAATAAATCTTTCTTTCTGGATTGTCCTGTGCTTATGGTTTGACAATGGTCCTTCGATGTGTCCTAAGATTATTTTATCTTCTAATCTCCCTTCAGGGTGCTGACTGTGTCCGGATCTCACCTGAGGCTCCATTACAGGTGAGGCCCCTAGTCTTAAGGAGACTCATGAGAAGTTGACGACTTCTGCTTTTCCTCTTTTCCCTCTGTATCCTATGTTGCCATCCTAACCCTTCCTCGTTTGTTTTTTAAGTGTGCCGAAGGCCCAAAAGGGGAGAAGGGAGACCGAGGAGAAAAGGTAGGCATGCCTTTATCAAAACATGGGAAAAACAAAATACGTTTTATTTAAGCCTCTCCCTCTTCTTTCTCTTCGCTTTAACAGGCCTCTGATCTTTACACAAATCCCTTTCCTCATTCCAACAGATTTGACCCAGGAAGGATTTGGTCAATATTAGCTTAAGATATTATGATTTATTTTTGAAACATGCTCTGCTTGTAAAGCAAGCCTTAACTTGGGGAGGAAATATGAGGGGGGGGGGATCCCAAACATTCTTTGAGTGATGTGGGCCCAGATATACCTGCAAAAATCAGTGGCCCTGAAAAATGGGCTGCAGAACATTGATTGTAAGTAACATATGATGTTCCTGAAAAGAACAAAAATGGAGTTGTTACAGTCCAAATGTAGCCCTGGCACAGGACAAGAAGTCTTCAGATTGGCAAAGTTGTCTTCCTCCTAATGTCTTTTCTGTCTCCTTTTTTTCCACTTAAGCTAACAGCATCCATGGCTGCGTTCACACAATATCATGTTATCACTGAACATTCTGAGTTTTCTGTCTATCTTGGCCCATAAACTATACTATCCAAAAAGACTCCTGTCAGTCTGTGCTCCATTCAAAATCCAAGAAAGAAATACTCAGACTCCATAGATTTGAGCAAAGTTTTTCTTTTACTGAAATTCAAAGTGGAAGCTACAGGTAGAATTCTGAATCTAAGGAATTTGGCGCTCAGATCACATATACAAAGGGATGGAATTGTTCCCACCCCCCAAAGTCCAAAAGACTCTTCCAATTAAAAGTTCTGAATATGATAATGTGGGCATCTTCAGGTGGTGATGAGGCCTCTGTCCGTTGACCTTGACATATTTTGATAAAACTTCGCAGCTGCGCAAAGGAAAGAAAGCTAAGCAAGGAAATAGAAACTTAAGAGCAGGAATTTATACTCCCCCCCCCACTCCTCATTTATACAAGACAAGAATGTAACACCTCCAGTTCTCTTCCCACAAGATGCAACCCCTCCTCCCCCCGTTACTCATGGCAGCCGAAAGATGCAAAGCAGTAGAAAGCAATAGAAAAGTAGAAAAGATCTTGAAGGCTGACAACTCCTTTCATACAACATAGTAAGAAAATCTCTCTCTCTCTCTCTCTCCCTCCCTCCCCCACTCTCTCTCTGTGTCACTCACACACACACATTCAAAAGCAATCAAAGTTAAAGCAGCTTGCAAAATGAATAAACACCCATCTTTGTAACTGACTTCATAACGACTATTGTGTGAACAGGATCTTTTTGTGTGTTCTTTGCCTCTCTCAACATGCCTTCTAGGCTGGATCTGTGGAGCCTGTTTGTCTAGATGTCCTTTATTTAACCAAAAATAATTCTTTAAGAAGAATAACAGAGAGAATGATGAAAGAAAGGAGACACAATTTTGTCCAGTGCTTTTAAACATAGGGCCCTCTTAAAGGGAGACCCTTTGATCTGTCCCCAGTGGTCCAATCTGCTGGAGACCAAAACAACATTATTTACAATATTTATAGTTTGTTCTATACCAGAGAGCCAACTATCAGACCTTTGACAGGAAGCACCAACCATGAATACTAACACTCTCCTTATTGTAAAGTTATATTACAAAGTCTTGCAAATCTAAATGTACATCTCCCCTACCTTTCTTTTATTCTCCCCATAACTAGGGAGAGTCCCTTTTGAAACCTCATCCTTTGTTTATCACACTATTATCTAAGCTGTGGCTCTTTCTCCTATTTTCCAAGGTCATGTCCACACACCACTACACCAACCTTGGATTAGATGAACAAAATAAAACAGGACTGAGCTAGGTTGAACTAGGTTCAGAAACCACAGTAAAAGCCACAGTTAGAGACTGGACTTGAAGTTGGAAAGACATTATGAAAGAAGATAATGACAACTGCCTTATGCCTTATTCTACAAATGCCAACTGAAAGAGTCTATAAAATCATCAGGGGTCAACTCAGTTCAAAGGAAAATAACTTGACCTATTTTGGGATTTGCCATCATTTTAAGGGACAGAATCCTTTGTAGCATCTTTACTTGATACGTGTTCCTATTCAAGTGTAGGCAAGTATATATAATATAGCAATGTAATAAGGTTATGTCAAAAAATCAGCCATGGCCAGGATAAATGCAATTTCAAATGACACAAACACCAGGGTCTACTGTGATTTCAATTGTTTAGGAATAGAGTGACAAGGCAGGATTGAAAGAGCCACATCAAAGTTGTGTAAAGGAAGAGTTAATCACATCAGAGGTATAAGCGTATGTGAAAAGTCAAAGTGTCAGGTGCACTCACACAAATCCCAACCATTTTTTTTTTTATGTGGACAAAGGAGTGGGACTTCAACTGCAAAATTGCAGCTTGACATCTTGATTTTGGTGACCTTCTCTTTCAGCTACCCGAGATACCTCCATCTAAACTTTTGCTGTCTGTTGTCCTATAAACTGATGCAACTATGATCTAGAAAAGTGGCAGAGGACACAACATTGCCATACTACCATCTCAGCAAAGAGGGAGTTTCTTTATTCCCCCATAGGGATCTGGACCAAGACCAGAACCATCAAAACCACAAGAAAGGTGGTTCAGATTAATATTCCTTACAGTTCCAGCTATCAGCCAATAGAACAGGCTACTGTGTGAGGTAGAAAGCTTTCCTTTCCTTACTGGAAGTCTTCAAACTGTAAACACTTCAAGGAAGACCAGACTAGTAAACCAAAGTCATGCAGGCTAATACTGTTTTTATTATATAGTAACAGAATTTTGTATGTGTGAATGCACTTCTCCCTCCTGTTAGTTTTGTGAGAACTAGGAAAGGTTTCATCTAGGGCAGTGATGGCTAACCTATGACACACGTGTCACTTGTGACACGCCGAGGCACTTTGACTGACACGCCTGTTGGTGTGGGGAAAACCTGCACATTTAGAGGCTGCCTGTGCTCTGCTCCAATCCCTGCTCCCTGCTTGTTGCGTGGTGTCACCGCTGCCGCGAGATCTTTGCAGCAGAGAACCAGTTTTAACCGCCATAAACTGAGGTTTGTCAGTTTCATTACCTCAGGAACGCTACAGGAGGAAAGGAGATCCATGAGGTTCACAGCCCTGTAAGGTGGCCTTCCGATCCCCACATCCTGCACCTGCAGCCCTGAGACCAGGGAGACGAGTTTCACAGCCCTATGTGATCACCCCAGCCCAGTCCGTCATAAACCAAATTATTGATATTTCTTGAAGTGACACACGACCCGAGGAAGGCTACACTTTTCCCCGATTTTTGACACACCAAGCTGAAAAGGTTAGCCATCATTGATCTAGGGCACTGTCCCAAGTTACAGTTCTGCTCTGAATTCAGATTTCTTTTATCTGATCACTGTCTTGGTTACTGTTCTTCCTCTTAACCCCCAAAGCGATTCCTTCTGCTTATTGCATAAACAGATGCTGGATGGTTATCATTCAAAGATTCTGTAGATTCTGCAACAAGCAGGGGTTTGGATTTGATGATCTCTCAATTCCCTTCCAATTCTAGGATCCTTTGCATCTTTAGAAAAACTTCACTTGGCAGGTTTCTCTGCATCTGAATCCAGGGGTTGACTTCCTTTAGCCGTCTTGCTTCAACCTGGCTTCAGTAGGGCAATATCCGTCAAGTGCAATCTAAACAGTTGACTCAGCCAGTAAACATCCTGTGACCTTCCTAATCCTGGACAGAGCCTTGCGCCCAACTGCTTAAGACTTCACCATCTCCTCTGTGCTGTTTCGCAGAGATGCTGAGGTTTTCCCCTCCTTGCAGTATTTGGAACTAAGGCTAAGGAAACAGGTCATTGCGCACAGCCAAAATTTATATTGTGAATGATAAATATTTAGTTTCACTATTTTAGAGCCAGGACTATGAAGGCATTACAGCTCTTCTCTGGGGCTGGCCCAATGCCTCCTGCTTTATGTGCAGAAAGACCAACCTAGAAATGTAACAAAACAAAGATTTTGGCTGGTTGTTACAAACCAATATTATTTAGTTGACTTTCCCTTTCATTCTGATCTGGTTGTCCTCTTCTCATTCCTTAGGACCTCTTCCTGTTTCAGATCTCCTTTTCTTCTCCCCACTGCACCAAACCACTGGAAGTAACAGCTCCACTTAGATGATTGAGTAGCCAAACTCTACCTGGGGTACTAGACTTACTACTTTAACAAAATTCCCAAGAAGCTAGAAGGATAATAAGGATGGTCAGAGAATTGGAAATCAAGCCAAAGTTGTAGGAACTAAATCTTTATCTTTGAAGGAAAAATTATGTAGGATCAGATCTTCCAGGTAGATCAGACTAGGAATCCAATGGCATGTAGGAATCTAATGCCATGTATCTTTTATTGTAAAGATAAAGTAGCAGAATCTTGCAAATATGAATGTGCTTTCCTCCTCTCTCCCATTATCTTCATGTGAACTAGGGAGGCTCTTGTGTGACATGCTTACTCAGATTGCATTCCTTCCCCGAACTTGTTAGTTTTTTTTAAAATCTGACTACTGTCTTGGTTGCAGTTGTTACTCCTGACCCTCAAGGCCACCCCCTTTTTTCTCTATATATAGGGAGGTCTGGATCACATTTTTTAAAGTATAGGGTGGAATTATATCAAAGAAGCGTATGATTCTATCATTCCAGCCATAAAAGACTTGGCATCAGACTTGGCATCAGTTACCCAGATTTGCTTCTTTCATAAGAACCAAATTAATTATAATTAATACGGTGACTCTTTGGACCTAGTAATATCCATTATGGCCTTGATAAAACTCTGGCTGAATTTAAGCAAAGGATATAGGATCAAGACATTCAGTCCAAAGTTACCCAGTTCCACCATAGTGCAATTTTTTTTACTCTTCTTGGACATCCCTTGGACAGTAACATTTTACATGCTCTATACCAGAGTTCCCCAACGATTCTTGGAAGGGGAGGGGATATATTTTATCTGCAGTATTTGATGTGTTCTTATCTGCCATAAATGATTTCACTGAAATTCTTGTTATAAGCAAAAGCTTGGATTTGATGATTTAAATCAGGATTTCTCAACCTTAGCCATTTTAAGACTGTGGACTTCAACTTCCAGAGTTCCCCAACCAGCAAGCTGAATGGGGAATTCTAGAAGTTAAAGTCCACACATCTTAAAATTGCAAAGGTTGAAAAACTCTGATCTAAATAATCCTTTCCAATTCTAGAAATTGCCAGGCCCCTCCATGTCCTTTCCTATGTCTTGGCTTGGCCTTTCTGAGATATGTTTTCCATTCTCATAACTTCTTACTTAATGACATCTAGAATTCATTGTTTTAATACAAGAGAGCAGCTTTGTGGCTAACTTCATTTCTCTACCATTGTATGGTAGAATGTAGTCTGGATTCCCAGGAGGGAAGGAGTGCATTCTAGGGGAGCAAAAGACTGTGAAATTTAGATAGCTTGTTTGGGAGGAAAAGGGTCGACAGCTCCTCCTTAGAAGTTCTTACAGTTCATCTTTAATGATGCAAGTAGTTTGCTTTACATTGACTAGATTTCTGTCTATGGATGAGGAACATTAAAGTAAACTATGTGGAAGAAACTCAGTTGCCTCTCTTGGTTTTTGGAGCTTGACACTTCGTCACCATTTCCTTCAGCAGCCTTAAACTTCATGCATTTGAAGAAGTGGTTAAGACTGAAACCAAACTGTAGAGATAATATACAATCCAATGTCTCAACTCATTCATGGTTCAACCCCCAGGCCACTATGAAGAGAAAACGTATGCAGGTACATCAAGAATAGAATAGAATAGAATAGAATAGAATAGAATAGAATAGAATAG